CATTTATAAACAATCCGGACTGGATGGAACTTACTGTAAATATTTAAGACTCTTTTCCACACGTAGTGCAAGCTGAATCCTTGGGTTCCTTTAAATCAGAGCTAGATAAGATTTTAACAACTCTGAGCTATTAGTTAAGTTCTCCCCAAGCAAGCTCGATGGGCCGAATGGCCTCCTCTCATTTGTATAGTTCTTATGTACTACTTGTGAGTCCAAATGTAAGGTTTCTCTCTGGATATGAGAAGTACCCTTTAGAAGGGCCATTGTCTGTTGGACAACCAGTGCAAAAATGAAGACAAAGGACCATTCTGCAGATGTGAGAAACAAAGTGATTGAGATGCACAAGGCAGGAAATGGCTGCAAAAAATATCAAACAGTTTGAATGTCCCATTAAGCACTGTTGGATTCATCATCAGAAAGTGGAAGGTTCATCAGCATGCAGACCCTCACTAGAACAGGCTCAAAACTAAGCATCAAAGCAAGACGTCACCTGGCGAGAGAAGGCTGCTAAAAATCCAACGGTCACTCTCAGACGTCTGCAGTGCTCTTTGGCTGAAACTGGAGTGAAGTTGCATGGGTTCACAATTTCAAGAGCTCTCCATAAAACAGGCCTCTACGGGAGGGTAGCAAGAAAGAAGCTATTCCTGAAGGTCCACAAGCATGTATGGCATTCCCTACAGAGCATGAGAAAAACCCAGTAAAGACGTTGGAGAAGATTTTATGGTCAGATGAGATCGAAACAGAACTTTTTGGCTATATTACAAAGAGGTACGTGTAGCATAAACTAACTGTCATGACCTGCTCGTTCGCCCCTCCTGTGTGCCACGCCCACCTCATTACCTCGTGTTACTTCCCGATTGTGTGCACCTGTTTCCTGTGAATCCTGGCTTTACTTGTGCATTTAGTCCACGTCTGTGTCAGTATCCCTAGTCATTGTAATGTTCAGAGGTCGGTTTACCTGGTGTGCTTCCTGTCTGTTTAATAAACCCCGTTTGTCAGTATTACCGGCTCGACTCGCCTGCTTCCCCGCTCGCTCGTCTGCACGGATCCTGACACTAACACTGCACATGCATCAAGAAACACCATGTCTATGGTGAAATATGGTGGTGGCAGCATCATGCTACGGGGATGACCTTAAACACAAGGCCAAAGTGACACTAGAAAGCCTC